AGTGCGTTTCATCCTATTTGGGACTCATCAGTTGAATATACTTGCATCCCAAAGTTGATGTTCACTCTGGGTCTCGAACCCACTACCATTCGCTTCAAACACCATCATCTTATACACTTAGCTATTGAGTCTTGAAATGTAGATATATCCAACTGATAAGTCATAAATAGGATGAAACATGCGTCAAACTGGATTCCACTACTATCCACTATCCATGTTTCTTTAGAATGCTTGTGAACTAAGGCAATATCGAGGTAATATGCACAAGATCCACATATGCCAATAAAAGACTGGTCAATTGTAGTCCTAAATATCAATGAGAAGATACAAGTAGAACAACATCAATTGTGATTGTATAGCTTTGTAAATGAATTCATCGAAAAATAGAGAACTCTTCAGTAAACCAATTTTTCTAGACAAAGAAAACTAATCTATATAAGTCGGACAGCTCACGTGTCACCTCAAGGTCATTGATGAGTAAGACAATATGAAAAGGATATGCTATTGGAGGATATGATATGAAATACACATTTGGTCAAGGCCATAGACCATATTTTCTAGTCTAGGTTAGAAGGATAAATATATATATACCTATTATTTGTAGGTCTTCTCTTTCACTGTATGTTCCTCATTCGTGTAGTTACACTGTTATGCGTACAAGATATATGTATTGTAACATTTAGAACAAAGAGTGTTGACATAAACAACAAAACTATGTACTACCTATAGGATAACGAATAAATACATACACTCACTATCATATGTTGCTATATGTGTACAACTATTTAATTGGATTTATGAGAGACGCTAGTAAAGCTCGAGACTAAGTAATTAAAGGAAAACAAAAACTATTCATGCACTTTGTAATGGTTGCTTGAATCTTTCCATTGATGTTTAAGACTGTAATTCATCAGTCTCTTATTGGCATATGTGCGTATCGCCTTAATTCACAAGCATTATAAGCAAAGATGAATAGTGACTAGCATTGGAATCGAGGACAAAGCGCGTTTCGTCTTATTTTCGGGGGCGAATACGGCCAGAGAAGTCCTACTCACTGCATTCTCGCACCACGGGTGTTGTCTACGGAAATGAGAGGATGAAAAGCGAATGTCCGGCGCTTTAACCGGATCCCAAACCAATGGTGTACATAGGCTCCAGTATCCTGCGGGAACAAATGGTGAACGAACCAATCATTTGTCACCGGCTATCATGGGACAGCACCTCCTCACGATGCTCCATTGCCTTGTGGATCAGACCTTTAGGTCAAAGGCTCGGGGAGTGGCCTCCTAAAAAAACCACCTGCTTCGGTTTGGGCACCCGGCAGTATCACAGCTCACAGGCAAACAGAATGAAATGACAATACTTACGGAGAAGAATATACTTGCTTCGACTAACGGTCAAACGATTCACATTATTATTATTTACTACGTCATTATTCACCCTCTTTTATTCCTACTATGTCTATACTTATTTTTTCGACTTATACAGCAGCACGTCTATGGTGGAAACTCGGTTCAATCTAAACGTTCTCGAGTCACTGTCCGGTTGAAAATTGTATGTTACCACTGAATATGAGTACTGAAGCAGTTTTTCTGAAACCACGTGCACCATTCAAACTGGCTGCCTTCAACGTTCGCAAACTTATGCAGGTTGCATAACAGATAAGGCTGGCTATGTCTTTGAAAAGTCTTGATATCGATGTCTGCTGTCTATCTGAGACCCGTATTCAAGACTCTGGTGACGTACTACAAATTCGCTATCCATCTGTCGCTTCGAAAAGCTTGTTTTACGTGCGCTTATCCGGGGACCCTGTGGCATCTTCGTCTGGTCTTGCTGGCGTTGGTGTCGCACTAAGCGCTAGAGCTGAGGCAGCACTAATCGATTGGATCCCCATTAACAGTCTGTTGTGTGCTGTTGGATTAGAGAGTTCCATCAAAGTGAGAAGAAATCAGCGTGAGAAACGATGTCTTCTCGTCATCTCCGCCTATGCCACGACAGATTGCAGCCCGGATGCAATCAAGGATGAGTTTTACCACCAGTTATCAGTTCTTCTCCAGAAAGCGCGTTCGACAGATACTGTAGTAATAGCCGGAGACTTGAATGCTCAGGTCGGGCGTCTAGGCACAGAAGAGAGTAGTTTAGGTGGCCGACGTGGACTCGTTGGTCGCAGGTCAGATAACGGGGACCGTCTACTGCAACTTTGCACAGACCACAACCTGTTTCTGGCTAGCACTAACTTTCGGCACAGTCATCGCCGATGTGCCACCTGGCGTCCTCCCTCTGCATCTCAAGCCTGGACTCAGATTGATCACATCGCGATCAGCTACCGCTGGCGTGGTTGTGTACAAGACTGCCGCTTCTTTTGGAGTACCTATCTGGACTCTGACCATGCCTTGGTCTGCGCCAATCTTGCCTTACTTTTCAGTGGACAACGAAGTGAACGCCATCAACGGATTGATGTTAGCAAGCTGGTTGCAACTTCTGTTGCAAGTAAGTATCGATCCGAGCTAGCCTCTAGGCTAGCTACCACTCCACCGAAAAGTATAGATGAGCATTGGTTGCAATTGCGTGACGCCATGAAAATGGCGGGAACAGTCAGTTGTGGGTTCGCGAAACGTCCCGCTTTTAAGCACTGGGTTTCTTCTGGTTCCTTACAACTCATTGAAGCCCGTCGGTCTACTCCGGGTGACCGTAAGTTTAACCACAAACGAAGGATGTTACGTAATGAAATCGGTCAAAGCTTGCGTAAGGACTGAGAAACCTTGTGGTCGGAGCGTGCTAATGAGTTGGAAGCAGCAGCTTCATCTGGTAATTAGCAGAAGCTGGTAATTACCGAAAGCTCTTCCAACTCAACCGAGCCACTGGCAGCAAGAAATCTGGTGTAAGCGAAATAATCTGCGAGGATGACGGAACGCCAATCACTAACATCCATCGACGTCTTGGACGATGGGCAGAATTTTTCGAAGGGCAGTTCAACTGGTCTGCTGTTCCGGCAACATCGGTCAGACTGTCCTGCCCTCCATGGCCGGTAACGACTGATCCATCAAATGAGGCGGAAGTCCACAAGGAACTCCAACTCTTGAAGCGTTACAAATCACCTGGCCCAGATGACTTACCTCCGGCCCTTTTTTAAGACGGTGGTGACTTTCTGACTAAGGAACTGACGACGTTGTTTACAAAGGTTTGGGAACTAGAGAGTGTACCAACGTCATGGAATGAGTCGATAGTTGTCCCTATCTTTAAAAAGGGTTCACGTCGTTCCTGTAACAACTATCGGGGGATAAGTCTACTTCCGATTGCGTCCAAGCTATTGGCTTCCGTCATTCTTCGTAGGTTGTTCAAAACCCGAGAAAGATTGACTCGCGAGGAACAGGCTGGGTTTCGTTCTGGTCGAGGATGTATTGATCATATCTTCACCCTCCGCCAAATGTTAGAACATCGCCATACTTATCAAAGGCCAACAATCGTAGTGTTTCTTGACATCAGGGCTGCTTTCGATTCGTTGGACAGGACTGTTATCTGGGATTGTCTATTGAAGAAGGGTGTGCCTGAGAAGTTTATTAACATCCTAAAAGCCCTGTACAAAAACACCTCAGGCAGAGTGAGGGCATACAACCACCTCTCTCCATTCCTCTTCAACTTTGCCATCGATGACATTCTGGAAACAGCTCTGATGGATGCAAGTAATGGTGGTATGGATCTGTCGCCTGGAGAAAGACTTCTCGACTTTGAGTATGCGGACGATATTGTCTTACTGTGAGATAATGCCCAAGGCATGCAATCCGCACTTAATCAGTTGGCAATCAGTGTCCGTAGGTATGGTATGTGCTCTGCACCTTCGAAGTGCAAAGTACTTCTACAAGACTGGCAGGATTCTAATCCTGTACTCACTCTGGATGGTGAGCAGATAGAAGTAGTCGAGAAGATCGTGTATCTGGGTAGCTGCATAAGTGCTGGTGGGGGTATGAGTGATGAGATCAATGCACGAATAGTGAAAGCCAGAGAGGCATATGCCAATCTGGGCCACCTTTGGCGCCTTCGTGATGTTAGTCTGGCTGTAAAAGGTCGGATCTACAACGCGTAGGTGAGAGCAGTTTTGCTCTATGCTTGTGAAACCTGGCCTCTTCGAGTTGAGGATGTTAGACGACTCTCTGTGTTCGATCATCGTTGTCTCCGAAGGATTGCTGACATCCAGTAGCAACACCATGTTAGTAATGCAGAGGTTAGGCATCGTGTGTCCGGGCACAGAGACGATAATTCAATTGGTGTCACCATCTTGAAACGCCGACTTCGGTGGCTTGGATATATTCTACGAATGTGGTCCCAGAGAATTCCAAGTCGTGCATTATTTGCCGACGCTGGTACTGGTTAATATCTACTACGGGACTCGAACCCATTACCATTCGCTTCAAACGCCATCGCCTTATCCATTTAGCTACTGAGTCCTCATAGCCAATTAATGAGACGAAACGCGCATCCTGGATTCTACTGTTAGCTACTATTCATCCTTGCTTATAAAAACAATTCATATCATTAGATAAAGAACACAATAATGGATTAAACTACTAAAAAAAATAGACATGAAGATATGTTCAATCAGTGACGGAAAAGGCATTCTTATCTACTGAAATATAGATCAGTAAACCCATACCTTAATGATAGGAAGGTATTTAACTTACACAGTGTAACGTCTTCACTTTATACACCATTTTATCCGTGAACTATGAGCTATATTGCTTACATTACGAAGTCATTTTACTAGTCAAATACTTAAGATCAAGTTTATAAAAAAACCCACTCGTAAGCATTAAACATTGTACTACTGATATCTAGTCATAATGAACATAGTTACTAAGTTATACCACCACCTAGAAAGTACAAGATAGGTAACCTACTGAGCCAGTATTGATTTTTTTTAAAACCTTTGGTGGATGGTTGTTTATTAAGTCATAAATACAAAAATAACAATGTTAATTTTTCAAAAAAAAAGAAAAACTCACAAAGTATACGTCCCTCGAAAACACTGATTATAATCTTTATATCGAACTTTATACTCATTTATAGTTGAATTATTCATCATTGATGATTGAGTTGATAATAAATCTGGACTATTTGATGCAATGTAATATAATGTTGTATTGATATCTTTTGCATTGACAGCTCTAGGAGCATAGGAATGACTAATAGTTATTCCTGATGTCCATAACTAATAAAACAATAGAATGAAGTATATAGTTAAATTTATTTATTTGAACACATAAATATTGGTACAAGAGGGCACCAAATATATATGCGCTACACCATATTTGTGTGTGTGGGCTGTGATACTGCCCGGGTGCTCAGACCGAAGCAGGTGGTTTTCTTAGGAGGCCACACCCCGAGCCTTTGACCTTAAGGTCTGATCCACAAGGCAGTGGATCATCGTGAGGAGATGCAGTCCCATGGTAGCCGGTGACCAACAATTGGTTCATACGTCATTTGTTCCCACACGATATTGGAGCCTATGTGCACCACTGGTTTGGGATCCGGTTAAAGAGCCGGACATTCGCTTATTATATGATAGATAGATAGATGAGAATTTCATTGTTTAACCTTACATAATTTAATCAATACAATTATACTTTCTCATTTTGATGGGAATGTTTCAGAAAAATCTTTACAAAACTTAAAAACACTTGCCCATTCAGATTAATGTTTATGTTGTTTAAAGTATGATCCATTATTATGAAATAACAACAGTAATGAATCTATCATGAATAGGATTTTATATTTGTAATGTCATAACAACAAAACACAAAGGTAAATTCATGGCAACATTTTGTAACCATGTTGAGACAATTACAACATTGAGAAAAAAATGAGTAACCTGTTATAGTTTAATATTGAAATAATGGAAGGAATAAATTTGATGAAAAGTCATTGAATATAGAAAAATACATCACAGTAGCGATATTTACGAACCTACCAGGTCCTGTTAAGTTTAGATCATAATTATTAATAAATATTGAGGTGTTATCACTAACCCATCAACTCAAATTGACTGTAGAATAGTCGTGAGTAGTTTAATGTTTACACCCGACCGTAGCGGCTACTTTGATGTGGTGGTCGGGCTTGCCTATCGTGATGACCCAACCGAGCTATATTGGCTGGAACATTTGTTCCTGTGGGTTCTACCATGCCAGGCAGGTCGATTGGAGAACGATAAGACTAAAAGCAGCAACTCAAGGTCTGAGGGCGAAGTCGGATTGCTGACTGTAGAGGGGTGTGACAGCAGTAACATGTTTCCCTAAGACAACCAGCATCTGCAGCGATGCAGCCTTCTTACAAGGAAGGATGCTTGAGCATCTGGGCTACCTGTTCCTGCCATCTAGATATTCCAACAAGTTATCTATTTTTGTTTGTTTTAATATATCACTATGTTTATTAATCGCATGACCTATTCTGCTGCGTTTCTGAAAGGTGTACAACTTTTCGTTGTCAAAGTTACAAAAAACTCAATAAGAGCCAACGTGGTTGCTGGCAATATACAGCGAAAGGAATGCACATTATTCAGATGTTCATTTACTGAACTGCTAACATCTAACTGGCGATCACTCAATATTTATCGCAAGGACCGACCAAGAAGAAAGAAACGGAAACTTGTTGAAATACTTTGTGCTGAGAATTCTATATTGTACCAAAAATATAATATTGAATAAAGCTGATAATAATAAATAATAATAATAAGAAGAAGAAAGGCTGACCCTAAAAATTTCACGCCTCACCTTACCTTACGAAGTTCCGTCTCCGGCGGTAAGGCCCTTTGAAGAACGGAGCTAACACGTTAAAAAACCTTCCACGAAAAGGCCGTGAGTGACCGGCCTCAAGAAGTTGTTCCTTGGGCTCTGCGGTCATGCTCCCAGGTCGTTAAGACCAACATTAATCCATCTTCCTTTCCAGGTTCTTCAAGAAATACACTTCCGGTGTGGGCAGCCGGGAAGTGATATCGGCCCTCATACCCGTAACAGCACACGAGACCAAGTTGGTCACGATCAAATCCTTCCTACACCTCCTTAATGTTTACAGATATTCACTAGAATATATTTTAAAGTTATAAACTCTGTAAATCTAACCTTAAACACCAAGAAATTTTGGGATAACGAATACACCGAAGATCCCGTTTCTAGTTTAATAAAGTTGAAGAATGTATTGTTGATATAGGCTTAATACAGAAAAAGAATTTTCGATGTCAGATATTCAGTTTATGTCATATTATTAAATGGTAACATCAACCATTCTAATCAATCGATCAACTTACTGTTTATGTCCTTATTTATCATAGAAACCTTGGTTTATTGAAGCTTAGAGTATGTCTATATGACTACTAAGAGATTCTTCATGCATTCACCATCAGTGATAAGCCGTTGAAAATCATCAAGTTATTGAACATGTATGTTCCAAACGAAGTCGACAGGAAAATGATGAAATCTGAAACAACAGAAATCACTATGAGCCGCCCTTAACGCTATCGAATAGCACATGAGTATACATGGAAATTAGTCGTATGATTTTACATAGAAATGGTCGACTGATGAGCTTACGGACCCTAATCGACTGAAGTATGTCGGAAATATGCTATTCACTTTAAATCATTTGCCAGTTACAGACGGTCAGTGATAACACCCGGTCGTTCAAACCGAAGTAGGTAGAGAGATTACGACTTAGGACTTAGTAGTTGAAAGTTGAACGTCTTAACCAATCAGTCATATTTTCATGCTTGTCTAGTCACCTAAACTTCAACGGTCAATGTTGGGTGACAGGGCAGAAAAAAATAAGGATGGGGAAATCAAAACATGGAGTCAATCCACGTAATCCATGGCTTTAGACTTCCTAAATGAACCCCAAGTTATAATCAAAATCTATGATTTGAAGCTTTAACTGGGACGGCCGAAATGGATCGAGGTAACGGAGATGAATTTATTCACTGTTTTTTTCTTCATACAAATCTGAAATCTACCTCACCTACTCCACTTTTGAAGTCAGGTAACACTTTAAACTACGATAGACAATAAGAGTGATTTCAAAACATGATATCAGTCCATGAAGCCATTAACTGTTGGACTGAGCTGTGCACTTAGGTACAGACTACCTGGTTGCAGACCAGGCGATCATCGTAACCAGTGGTTATTATTATTAGCTTTATTCAATATTATATTTTTGGTACAATATAGAATTCGTAGCACAAAGTATTTCAACAAGTTTCCGTTTCTTACTTATTGGTCGATCCTGACGATAAATACTGAATGATCGCCAGATAGTCAGTCGACATTTGAATAATGAACATTCTTTTCGCTGCATATTCCCAGCAACCACGATATCTCTGATTGGGCTCTTTTGTAACTTGTACAACGAAAGGTTGCACACTTTTTACAAACGCATCTGAATTGAGATAATGATATTGTGAAACAAGCAAAAGACAGATAACTTGTTGAAATATCAAGATGGCAGGGACAATTAGCCAAGGTGTTTAAGAAGGACGCCAAAGCGAGAGAGACATTAAGCGTAATCGCTCGGAATCATTTACGACGGAGCAGATGTATTCACTCTTAATCTTCCCTTAGATTCTACCTATTTGAATCCTATTTTATTCCGCTAATCTATATTTTATCTTCGAATAATATCTTTTATGTATAACCTTTTATATTACCACTGATAATATTACTATATCTATCACTATAATTTGTTTGACAATTTCCCGTTGTTTTTTTAAAATGGGGCATGATAACTTGAACTGATGACCATACGTGTAAGGTTCTAATGTTACGTATAACTGACAACTGATAAACACTGATTGAAAGACTAGCAATTCACGAGGGTATTTATTTATGAGTGACAAAGAATGAAAAAAATACACTAGAGATTTGTAGAACTACTGTGTATGCTAGTTAACATTATTAGGTGAGTACAGAGAAAATTAATGAAAAGCAATAAAACATTCACAAAAATGAAATAAAAGAAGGAAAAAGTAGAAACATTCAAGATAAGTTGATCGATTGTGTACCGAATCACAAAAAATAGGTAACCACTAAGTCATAACTTTTCGCCTACAAGTTAACATGTATTTATTCCTTCTCTAGTTTAATACTTTTTGTGAGAACGGTCCTCGGGTCAACTCAAGGAAACTGTAAGAAGCTCAGAAAAAGCCGAAGATATTCTATTCAATCATCTTTTGGAAGAATATTCTAGAACCTCTATGTGTAGCTTCCCGATTAGACAATGCTAATAACCCCCTGTGTGCGGATTGGATAGCTATAATGATGATTTCGTTTTTACTAAAAACTATAAATACCTGACAGTTTTGTACCATAATTTGACAGTGCCTGGAATAATATTCCTTTTATTAAACTTCTGTCTTCTCATTGCGACTTGGAAGGGTTCTAGCTTTCTAGTACTTAAGTTATACGCGGTATATCAAGGATATAAGTTCTTGATATAGCACTTTTTTAACTGGGTCCTTTTAGGGTATTATATTATCTTATTAATACTCAGTAACTAATAGCATTATCATTCAACAACATTTAACTCTTCATCAAAATGTGTTGAAGTTCTAAATCTTTCCAAGAATCTGTAACACTACTTACGCCTGTTACTCCTAATGGAGCATAGGTTACTGACCAGCATTCACCAACCCATTCTGTCCTCTGCCTTTCTTTCTAGTTCTATCCAATTTTTGTTCATTCTCTTAATGTCCGCCCCCATTTCCCGGCGTAATGTGTTCGTTGGTCTTCCTCTTTTCCTTTGGCCTTGAGGATTCCATGTGAGGGCTTGTCTTGTGACGAAGTTGAGTGCTTTCCTCAATGTGTGTCCTATCCACTTCCAGCGTTTCTTCCTCCGCTGGGATCTGGTTTCTTCTCTCCCACAGTAGGTTGTTGCTGATAGTGTCTGGCCAACGAATCCGAAGTATTTTGCGTAGACAACTGTTAATAAACACTTGTATCTTCTGGATGATGGCTTTCGTAGTTCTCCAAGTTTCCGCCCCACACGGTAGAACTGTCTTGACATTTGTATTGAAAATTCTGACTTTGGTGTTGGTTGACAGACAGTTGTTTTGAGTTGAGATGTTCTTCAGTTGTAGATATGCTGTTCTTGCTTTGCCGATCCGCGACTACATATCTACATCAGAGCCACCGTGTTAACCAATGATGCTGCCCAGATACGTAAGGGATTTTACATCTTCCAAATCTTCTACGTCAAGTGCGATTCGATAGGTGCATGCTGTGTTGTATCGGAGAACCTTGCTTCTGCCTTTGTATATGTAACTTACTAAAAGAACGCTAACCAGAAAAATCAGTAACATATAATCTGCTTATTATTGCAATTGTGTTGTCTTGATATTCTTAACATTCATCCTTATTTATTGTGCACTCATTAAACACTTGTTTGTTGGTAAAAATTTCATACTTTATGTCCATAGTTCTCGTTTTGATTTATCGGATGTCATTACTGGATTAAAGAACTACCGTCTGTTACGTATGTCTTGATAAATAATAAGTATTGTGGCAGGCTCTTCTGCTTTGGTCTTATCTTGAACCAGGTAAACCTTTTAGATAACTCACCCATTAGATTTGTAAGGTATATTACTTATGTTGTCATTAATAACAGTACCGTTCCACGAAAAAAACTCATTGATTCAATTTCAGATTCTATGCGTGCTTCAGTTGTTCGATCCGAATCCTTGAGTGAATTTAACGGATACCTACTCCCTTTTGTGGTTTTCACAAACAACTAGTGATTTTAGGAGTTAAAATTAAATACTAGTCGAAAAATCGTTAGGAATTACTCTTCAACACCCTAATACTATTTGTTGAGGATATCCAGAAATCTCGAAAAAAGTTAATAAATACTCTGAAAACACTAAGAAGCATCTTATCCAATCAGCATTCACTAGAAGTTTTTTGCCAGAAACATCTAGAAAGTGAAAAGTCACAAGTCGATTTTCTGATTGAATGATTATATATACTGCTAGTATGTTTAGTAGCGTCTCTGAATTTTCCGGAAACCCAAGGCCATCTAAAAAAGTATAAAACTCTAGATTTTCTGTAAATAAACAATCTTTTGGAGTAAAGCGTTTCTTCCATATTTCACGCCTTTTCTCTCGTGTCCAAGTAGCTGAGTAGATTTAGACCGGGGTTACCAGAACAGCTTAAGAACCGGATCTAGCGTTCGTTTAAAAGAGTTATCATTATTCTGATCAGCATCACATGTAAGGATAGACAGCTAGCTGAAATACGTAACACAGAAAACTACTTCAGAAGATACAGCTTCCTCCCTAAATCTCTGAATTTAAGCTTCAGAAGGACCATTCAGTTATCCACTTGAATAACTAAATACATTCAATTTAAACATATACTCACATTTCCATCGCAATATCTCATAATATCAAGGTTGAGAAAACTGATGACTAGATGAAATATCTTCATTTTGATACAAAGTTGACAACGGTTGGTGGTATATATGTCGAACGAGCCATTCACATTCTCTAAGTAAACTAGTCAGTACGTTAAACCATAATAGTAGTTATCACTAGTTTGGCAATTTTCATACACTCAGTTAAAACAGCTCAATATTAAGCACTGTTATATGCTCTTTTTCCAATAACTCTGCTTCCAACCTACATTTCTAAAACTGGTTTTCTTACTATACAAGCCCTAATCATTTGATTTGTGTGTGAGCTGTGATACTTCCCGGGTGCCCAGAATGAAGCAGTTGGTTTTCTTAAGGAAGCTAAACCCCTAGACTTCGACCTAAAGGTCTGGGTCGGAAGGAAGTGGAACAACGTCAGGAGATGCAGTCCCATGGTAGCCGGTGACAAACGATTGGTACGTACGCCATTTTTTCACTCAGAATCCTGGAGTCCATGTGCACCATTGGTTTGGAATCAGAGTTTTCCAACTCTTCTAGGTGGACCCTGTGTCCACCAACCCGATTCAAGCGCTGGCCATTCGCTTTTTGTCGTCTCAAATCCGTAAACAACAGTAATGCCGAGACAAAGCAGTGAGTAGGACTTCCCTAATAGTGGCTCTATACGCATGGCCAAGTGAGGGCATTTCGAGAGAGAGAAATCTGACTCTCTTCACCTTTGGCCGTACCAGGGTATTTGGTGGTTAACCAATAATGAACATTTCCACGTTCATTAAAAATCAAAGATGTATTATAGTAGACAGTTAGAATGTTCTATTATTCTTGACTTCATTTTTATACAGACTTTTTATGAACGTGTGAGAATAAGGTTATTATTAAAAGAAATTTAATTCATGCATTTTAAGAAAAAACCACTAAAGAATATTACAATAACTACTGGGTTTTAAGCGAAATCTAATTTGCTAAAATAACAATACCTAGTTTTAGTTATTACAGTGTTTTAACGTGTTAATTCATGTTTTTTTGTGGTTAAGACATTCATTTCACAATTTACCTACTTATTTATTTGAACACATAAATATTAGAACAAAGAGGCACCAAATTCATGTGCGCTACACGTCACTTGATTTGGGTGTGACTATAATACTGCCCGGGTGCACAGATCGAAGCAGGTGGTTTTATGAAGAGGACTACATTTTGAGCCTTCGACCTAAAGGTCTGATCAACAAGTCAGTGGAACAAAGTCAGGAGATTCAATCCCATGGTAGCTGGTCACAAACAATAAATTCATACGCCATTTGTTCCCTCAGAATCCTGGAGCCCATGTGTACCATTGGTTTGTAATCAAGGTTTCCCGACTTACCTAGTTGGACCCTCCGTGTTCACTAATCCGGTTAAAACGACGGACATTCGCCTTTGGTCGCCTCAATTTCGTAAACAACAGTAACACCGCGAGAAGGCAGTGGGTAGGACTTCCCTAATAGTGGCTGTATACGCGTGACCATGTGAGAGTATTTCGAGATGGAGAGCTGACCTTCCCCTCCCTCGGCCGTACCAAGGCATTTGAGGGCCCGAGAGATCGTGCAACACAGTGGCTAGAGATATTATCAGATATGGCTCAGAATAGAAGCCAGTAAAGATCCTGTTGTAACCTTCTTCTACTTTCTTCATAAAAAGTGATTGTGACTTCCTTAACTGAAAGAATTTTTCTGGTTGTTCCTATCTGTTTCCCCCATTATCATTATTACTACACCACCACCCAGTAATCTGTGATCGTTATTGTTCTTTTTTTCCATTTACGCACCTTACCTTCATTTTCTTCTCCCATTCTCATTGTTTTATGTGGCGCATATATATCTGGTGCCCGCTTGTACCAATATTTATATGTTCAAATAAATAATTAAAATAAACATTTTCATCATTGATATTGAAAAATGGTTTAAATTTTTTATAAAATTATAATGGTTATCAGAATAAACTTACGAAATTCCAAGCATCAGTATGCTCTTTACGTAATTCACTTTCTGGATAACTCAAGGCAAACATTAATTCAGATGAAATTAACGATTCCAGTCGTGTTCGTTCTTTGGCCAAATGTCCAAGATCTGATTTAAATTGAATTAAATCATGCTCTGTAATCAATATTGGTTGATCTGATATCCGGATACCAGTAATAAAAGTATATGACTGGGCTCTGTATAAAGGAATGGATGAAAATGATGATAATAATCAGTTATAAATCAATGAGGAATTTTTGAAAATACAAAAATCAAATGGCCAATGACAGATGAAGCATTCATATGACTTGTCGATCAGTTTACAGTATGTTACAACTTGTGGACTGTGTGCCTTGTTAATGTATAACGTAACGATACCGCAAATCAGAGAGCAGTGACTTATCGATCGGATCAATGACGCGTAAACCCGTATGAGCAGTCTAGAGTCCTAATTGGTCCCGATTTCTATCTAGCCCAGTCAGTTAAGTCCAGAACGTCAATCTCAGCCTCTGAGATATGAATCATTATATTTCAAGTATACTCGGTTTATATACCAATCGAACAGACCACAACGTACCATAAAATAGAAAATAACATTTGTACGGAATATGGCCAAATGTGGCTGTGAATGTAGGAAGCAGTGACTAATAGACAGGGCATGATTAGAGAATGGAAAACGTATAATGATTGGTCATAGGTCAAAATAAAGCTTATAATAAGAGGAATATGAATAGATTAGTTGTTTAACAATTATACGATAAAAATATGCGTTTAGTATTGGTCCATAAATGGATCCCAAAGTTACCATTCATTATGCTTATCGGGACCTAACACACCTCCCCTTTTTTGAAGATCCGGAATTGATATCCAGATTTTAAATTTTCCGAGTTTATCAAAGGATTTCAGAAGCTCGATACTTAGATCAATCAGCAGTCGATGTACACATGGAAATCGACTTCATATATTAACCAGTCAGAAAAATCATGAACGAATATGGGATCAAAAATTAGATCAAGATGGGAGACAAAACACGTCCTGGATACCATCCTCTATCTTTGCTTATAGTGCTTGTGAATTAAAGCGATATCGCAGCAATACGCACAGGATGTGCATATACCAATAAAAGACTGATTAATTGCAATCCTTAACATCAATGAGAAGACTCAAATAAACAATACAAAAGGAATTTAAAATTTCAAAGCGTTGAATGTTATAGAAAGTGATTTTCGATACTTTATACTACTTTAATTAATTTCAGTAGGCTAATGAAATAATAGTGAAACAAAAAAGATGAATTTATACGAATATTCGTCAAGATTAGAACGAATAGTTTGACAGTAATTGAGCGCCGAGTATAGAGAAGTCATTATATGTGAAAATTATATTTGAAATATTCTCAGCGATTGAAATATAATTAATTCCAACGTTTCGATAATTTTGATTATTACCCTGAAGAAGTCCAGACAAGTTAGCTAGACGAAACGTTGGAATTAGTTATATTTCAATCGCTAAGAATATTTCAAATATAATTTTCACATATAAAAAAGATGAATTCCATACAACAAAAAAGCATGAATCTATCTCGCAGCGAAAAACTATGAAGATCAGAATAGATAAACAATCGACATCCTGCTATTTCTTTGGAAAATGGTAGTCTTAAGTGAAGTCCAGCTAGAAGGCGGTCTGCTTGAATAACTGTGCTACCTATTTCTGCAATTTAAATTTTCCAACAAGTTATCTTTTGTTTTATGTCTCTTAATCGCATAAACTACTCAGGTGCATTTATGAAAGTTTTAAGACCTATCGCTACACAAGGTACAAAGAAATACGATTGAATATATCATGATGGCTAACAATATGCATTGAAAAGAAAGAACATTAATTAGATGCTGATCCCTGAACTAAGTCTTGATTGTCAATCACTAATTGGCAAGGAAGACTGTCACCAATTCCTATTAAGTCCAAATACGAATATAAACTGTGGTGTGAGCGCATATGATTATTAGTACTTTTTCTGCATCGTCTAATATACAAATAAGATTTTGTATTGAGATCATGAACCGATTGGTGTTAGAACACCATTGAAAACCTGGAAGCACTGGACGGCTGTTCATCCTAATGTGGGACTCCTCAGCAATGCGCATCCATGATCCCGCTCGCGGGGTTCAAACCCAGGGCCTTCATTCTCGAGCGCGAACGTTTAACCTCTAGACCACTGAGTTGGTACCCAATAATGTTAATGTCTAATCTTAACCAATCCACGAAATTGAGCGACCGTGAGTGCGCACTGTTGAGAAGTCCCACAATAGGACGAAACGGCCATCCAGTGCTTCCAGATTTTCAATGGCGGTTTTACATCAATCAGTTCATGATCTCAATCAAAAACTAAATAGCCTCCACAACCCTATAATGATAGAATTAAGAATATAAATATAGCTTTTGAGTATATATTTGATTTGATAAAGTGATTATTACACAAGATATGAACTATTGTTTATGCAACGTATCTTTTAAATTATATTAACTAAAACAAAATTAAATTGGTACAATTACAAAATGATGGAGGAAGATTTGTAGCTCAGGTTAATAATTTCAATGATGTTGTGTTTTTGAACCAGATGGTTTAATTGCAGAGGTCTTAATGTCGTTTTAGACACTACTAGCGCCTACATATGGCAGATGGTTGAAAAGAATTGATATAAATCACTTTTCATGACTGGTTGAATGTATCAATTTTCCCACATGAAAATAAGTCTGATTTCTTAGGTTAAGCTGAAAGCATTGAGATGGCAGGAGGACACACACACACTATCTACCTCTCGGAAAATATGCGTTGCTTGAGTTGTTTGATAAATCAGGTGTGGCCGATACCTTGTTGTAACTCTTCATCTATTTAAATTCCATTTGAGCAACATATGAAACGAAATCATCTTCAAGTAATTTAACAACCTTCAAACAATTATATCACAAATTAACCAATAAAGTCACAATGGTAAACATTTAGGTTAATTTTCTCACAGTGCCACCAAGAGAAAAATGAGATTTGAATACTTTTCATCTTTAACTGCTTTGAGATTTTGAAGAAGAATTCGAGCTTTTGAGCAACAATAATCATGATGTGAAAAATCAGCTCTGAAAATGTCTTGATATCGATAGAATTAAGATTTAAATGTGACATCTGTATTTGTATTAAAATGAAACTTATTAAATTAATTAAGAATTCATTAATTGATCCCAGTGAAGCAGATACCTGTACTGAATTCTTTTGAATCTAGAAATTTTTAGCCATTAACTTAATCGATTTTAATTATGGTGCTTGAAACTTCTTCTGTTGTTACTACTGTAAGATACTTTTAATGTACTCTTGCGAAATTGATGTTATTGAATTCATTTCCACATGTTGCACTGGAAGTTCATCACTAGAAAACTGTTGTGACGTGAAATGTTTAAGAGTCGATACTGATACGTAATCTTTATGTTTACGAGTTCAACTGGTTACTCAAGTGAAATGATTGTGATTGAGAATGGAAGTTTATTGGCTAAAGTGAATTGACATGTATGTTTACACATATATACATATCCCTCATAAAACTAAACCACTAATAGTGTGTTTCATCCCTTTGAAATTAAAGTCACTTCTTGTCCCACTGACTGATTAGTACAATGTATCAATATATGGTTAGGTCTTATGATTAAGTAATTAAATTCAGAGCAATTTAGTATCCAAGTTCAAATCTGAATATTTGGCTTTAATTTATTTTTAGTATTTTCAAGGATAGAGATACTTGCAATCTGTGTAAGACGGAAATAAATCTAACATAGTTTAAAGCTTCTACACAAGAACCAAAGTCAAGGTTATAAAAGCTGTGTGTAAACATACTTGACCTCTATTTATCGATCTATTATCTATATATAATCGATTAACTGTTATGAAGTTGACCACATAACAACTATTCTCAATTCATTCCTAATGCCTTTGATACAGGTATGAAGCAGTGGCATATTTTTTAAAGCATTGAACTCTAAAGCAAAAGATTGACAGTCCGAATAGCTCTCCACCGGATAGTGTTACTAGCTCTTGAACAAAAAGTGAAGTTCCGAGTTGGATACATAAACCAGTAACTGCTAGATAAGGTACAGAATGACATGGGAAATTAACGTCACTGACTGGTTATCTAATTGTTTATTGGTTACTGATTTTTTATTTTAATGGTATGAGATGACAAAATTGCTCTCCGAATGTTTAACATAGCCGGAAGCATAATTCTAGAATGGGAGACTTTGCGAACACAATAACCAAACTCATAATAATAATACTTATATTAATCATGTATCTCAGTACCGAAGCGCACAGGCTATTTTGACACAGTGGTCGATTTTGGCTATCGTAAGAACATAATCAAGCTACAATGGTCTTGGCTCGTGTTCCTTAGGGTCCTCTACCATGCCAAATAAGTAAGCCGGGTAATGCCGATACCAAAAGCAGAACACTTAAGGTGGGAGGGTGAACAAGTACTATCGATCATACCTTATGAAGAACTGTCATCTGCTTTTGCAACCTGAAGTGGTGTCCGTCAAGGCTGTCCACTTTCTCCATTTTTGTTTAACTTCATCATAGACCTATTGATGGAAATAACATTCTCGTCGACTGAAGTCTCGGGTATTGATCACCTTCCAAGAGGTCCACTTATCGACTTAGAATACGCAGATGACATAGTCCTGTTTGGTCAAGACGCTGATAAAATCCCGTCTTCTGGTAGCACTAAGCAACAATGCCAGAATGTTTGGAATGCGTTGTTGCAAGTTGTTGCTTCAGGACTGGTCTGTGTCAACACCCGAACCAAGGATAGGGAGTGAAGTAGTTGAACGCGTCGACAACTTCACTTATCTTGGAAGTCTGATCAGCCCTAATGGGTTGGTGTCTGACGAAATTTCAACACAGATTCGAAAAGCTCGCTTGGCTTTTGCCAACTTACGTCACCTATGGCGAAGGCGAGATATCCGTCTATCAATAAAGGGACGAGTATACTGCGCGGCAGTCCGTTCTGTTTTAATTTACGGCACCGAAACATGGCCATTAAGAGTAGAAGACACTCGTAAGCTACTAGTATTTGACCACAGATGCCTTAGAAATATTGCTGGCGTCTTCTGAGATCACCGGATAAGTAAAAGTGAGGTTAGACTCAAGGTATTAGGGGATGATGGTAAATCAGTTGATGAGGTTGTGAATCTTCATCGACTGAGATGGTTGGGTCACGTGTTACGTATGCCCGAACACCGATTACCACGACGTGCAATGCTAACCGGTGTTGGAGATGGTTCGAAGAAACTTAGGGGCGGCCAAATCAATACGCGGCATCAGTGCTTGAAGTCACTAACTTCTAGTCTGAGCCATGTTGGTAGATGCAGTCTACTTGGTTGGGGTCCGCGTGACTATCGTAACCAATGGTTGGAGACTCTTGGTGACATGGCTCAGAATCGATCACAATGGCGTCGGTGTATACACTCTCTGTCTTCCCTTAAACTAAGAGATTAAAATCGCTTCATATCTTTCTTTCTACGAACTAATTCTTTCTTCCTGTACTATATCCTTATTGCAATCTTTCTTGTATATATTACCACCATTGAATTAACTACTTTTATGAATCCGATGTCCATCTTGTTGTGTTAATGAGGTATGGCAACTTGGACCTGAATAGCACGTACAAAACTATGCACAAATAGACCACCGTGATCGGAACTAAACAGTGGTCTTGAGTGCTGTTATAGGTATGCGGGCGGTTATCACTTCCCGATTGCCCACACCGTGGAAGGGTTCTTCTGGAGGTACCTGAAAAGGAAATTGGATTAGAGTTTGTCTTAGTAACCAGAGAGCGTGACCGCAGTGCCCAATGGACAACTGCTTGAGGTCGGTCACACACGACCTTTGTGTAAGGATTTTTCGTGTTAGCTCTGTACTTGTTGGGACCTTACAACCGGAAGTGGAAATCAGTGGGATAAGATGAGATGTGCATTTTTAGGATCGGCCTTTTCTAACCCCATCCCTCCTTGTGGGAAGCCAGCATCACTGTCATGCTCGTTGTCTGAAGGAAACACCTTACTGCTGTCACACCTCTGTACAGTCAGCAGTATGACTTCGCGTTCGGACCTTGGGTTTGCTGTTTTTAGTCTTACCGTTATTCAACCGACCTGTTTGGCATGGTAGGACCTTGAAGAACGGTTGTTCCAGCCAGTGTAGCTCGGTTGCTTCACCACGATAGGCAAGCCCAACAACCACGTCAATGTAGCGACAACAAACCCTTGACCTCTGCGGCCACGCTCTTATGTGTTTAAGATAACTACTAACCCAGTTTTATTTTGGAAGTCGCTCAAGAAGTAAATTTCTTTAACTGCACACACATACCTCTAACAACAATCAAGTTGATTGTGTACAGAGCAAAAATCCATATTTATCCCTAAATGCTTCCTTTATTCCTATTATCATCTTCTTCTCTTGTTACATATATTCTTTCACGTACAACTAATGCTAATTATTCTATCGTACAAAATTCTATCCTTGGTAATCCGAAATCACACTCTAAAATACATTTTAGAGCTTCAGATATTTAAATGGTGTGTCAAAATGATTCAAGATACTGTTAGCTTTTTAATGAAAGAAGGAAATTCTAGACAAGTGTATGATTTTAGCTAGGACTAACAAAAGTCCTAACTGAAACCGGTATCAAGGATAAGCAAAGGTGTTTATAAGCTGGTTTGACCGAAACATATCACAATTTAGTATTGTCCTTTTCATGAAAATACATTGACTATACTGAGAAAAGTATTTGATATTTTGTACATGAAATCTGATACAAAATGATTTGAGTATAATAAGTTTCTACAGATATTATGAGTGAAGATACTTTAATAAACTTTACTTACTTACTTGCATACGCCTGTTACTCCTCGTGAAGGAGCATAGGTCGCTCACCAGCATTCTCCATCCAACCCTTCCAGCTCTTTCCACTTATTAGTCATCCTTTTCATATCTGCTTCTATTTCTCGATGTAATGTGTTCTTTGGCCTTCCTCTTTTACGCTTCCCATCAGGACTCCAAGTTGGGGCTTGTCTCGTGATGCAGTTTGATGATTTCCTCAATGTATGTCCTATCCATTTTCATCATCTCCGAATTTCCACTTCAGCTGGAAGCTGGTTTGTCCTCTCCCACAGAAGGCTGTTGCTGATGGTGTACGGCCAATGGATGTTGAGTATCTTGCGTAGACAACTATTTATAAATACTTGCATCTTCTTGATGATGGTTGTAGTAGTTCTCCAAGTTTCAGCTCCGTACAGCATAACTGCATCGACGTTCGTATTGAAGATTCTCACTTTGATATTGGTTGAAAGTTGTTTTGAGTTCCGTATGTTCTTCAACTGAAGGAATGCGACTCTTGCTTTGCCAATCCTTGTCTGTACGTCTGCACCTGATCCTCCTTGTTAATCAATGATGCTTCACATGTATGTGAAGGATTCTACATCTTCCAGAGTTTCTCCAACAAGAGTGGTTGGATTGCTGTTCTCCGTGTTGTATTTGAGGACCTTGGTTTTCCCCTTGTGTATATTGAGGCCTACTGATGCCGAGACTGCTGCTACACTGGCTGTCTTTATCTGAATTTGTTCGTGTGTATGCGATAGGAGGGCTAGGTCATCTGCGAAGTCCAAATCCTCTAATTGGTTCTGAGCTGTTCATTGTATTCCGTGTTTTCCCTCAGATGTCGAGGTCTTCATAATCCAGTCGACCACCAGAAAGAAAGAGGATTTAATAAACTTTAAAAGTATTAAAAAACAAACAAACAAATAACTTACGATCCAGATAAAACAGTTAGATTTTCTGGAAATACTGGCTCATATACAACAACTACTAATACTTTTGCTATAATTGGATTATGATCATTTGATTTAAAATTATCTGATACAGGTAAATGTATTAATCCACAAGCAATTTGATATGTGACTTCTTCTGCAGCATGATTCTTTAATCCACTTTTTTGTTGAAGTCTATTCAATTCATGAACAAAAGGAAAATTTTACAGAAAAAAGAAAAGGATAAAGAACGAGATTATTAGTAGATGACCAAGATGATGAATCGAATCATTCATATGAAATGAAACTAAACTACATAGAGTACTTTAACATTAATAGTTTCTTGATCAGTATTACAGGCCTCCGAATGCCCTGGTATGGCCGAGAGTGGGGTGGGCCCATCTTCCCTCTCAAAATGCTCTCACACGGCCACGCATATACAGCCTATGCCAGAGAAGTCCTACTCACTGCCTTCTCGCGGCGGGAGTGTTGTTCACGAAATTGAGAGGACGAAAAGCGAATGTTCAGCGCTTTAACCGGATTCCAAATCAATGCTGCACATGGGCTGGCTCCAGTATCCTGAAGGAACAAATGGTGTATGAACCAATCATTTGTCACCAGCTACCATGGGACTGGATCTCTTGACGATGCTCCACTGCCTTGTTGATCAGACCTTTAGGTCAAAGGCTCGGGGTGTGGTCCCCTAAGAAAACCACCTGTTTCGGTCTGTGCACCCGGGTAGTATCACAGCCATCACAGAAATCGAATGATTAATGTGGCGCATATCTATTTGGTGCCTCCTTGTACCAATATCTATATGTTAAAATAAATAATAAATAAAACAATATTCCAGATATTGTTGATCAATTAAATCAAGACTAATTAACTAATCTTACTATATCATAATGACTATGTAAATAAAGAAGGAACAAATCACTCTTATCTACCAGAGTAAAAGTTCTATTCTCGCTCATTTGGTGAATACAGATCATCAAATGTGTTATGTCCGAGCGAAAATTAAATCATGAGTAACTTCTGAGACATATTAATTGACTAATATTATCTATACATTCTTATGGTATAACTATTCAGTAAGTAGATTATGTATATCTATATTCCCCTTGTTATAAGCTTTATTTTGACCTATAATTTATTATTGTACGATTTACTGTTCTTAAGCTATGTTTAGTTTATTGACTACTGCCTCCCACGTTCACAGTCACTTTTTAGCTTTATTGTGTACGAATATTATTTCCTATTTTATGGTGCGTTGCGGTCTATTTGGTTGATATATAAACCCAGTATGTCCGAAGTAAACAGTTCGATTCGATTCGCATATTGGAAGCTGCTATTTGGTGTTGTGGACTCAAGTGGACGAGCTAGGCTAACATAGGACCAATAAGGACGCTAGACTGTCCATACCAGTCGAACGTCATTGCTTTGGCACAGTGCTAAGATTGTATAAGTCGTATTTTGATTGATGGATAAATCACGTGATAAAAGCCGGACATAAAGTCACAACAAAATGGAATTGAATAGTTTTTAAGGTTATCCATCAGATTCAATCAAATTTATCATATGGTTTACAAGTGCATCTTTTGCACATTGCTAAATTCATTACAATCCATATTCACCAATCTAACCTTTCTATTCAAAAGAAGTTTGTAGAACCACTCTTGCTACCTTGGCTATCGGTATAAGGAAGTTTGTAATAGAACTTTGATAAACTATTTTCGTATCTCTTCCATTTTTTTTTGTATTTTACTTATTCTCAACATTCATCTGTTGATACTCACTAACCATTCATCGAAATATTTTGTTAGTTCCTTCTTCTGTCTTCTTTTATATATTATGCAACGTGGCAACTACTTGATTATCGAATAATTACTTAGATTATTATTATTATTATGATTAATCTCCTTTCTTCCAATTACTCAATGTTAATTTATAATCGATATGTCATTATACAATTATTACGTAACGTATCTAATTGATAAGTATATTAATTGATTATTAGTGTAGGGCTACGATGATAAGAAATTACTTTGCTCGATTTGTTCCTTCTTTATTTTTACCAAATGTCAAAAGGGTATATTGACGACTACGTAAATATTGAGTGTATTCCAAAAAAAATCAATGAATAATTTAATGAAATAATAAGAGTGGTTTTATTATTATTAAATGGAACAGTAAAATGGAACTAACATTAAAACATTAATATGATTCTAAAAATATGTAAGGTTTCCTACTGCATAAATTTTGGTTACGGGATAACCGGGTAAGTAATAGTGAGGTTAGACTCAAGGTATTAGGGGATGATGGTAAATCAGTTGATGAGGTTGTGAATCTTCATCGACTGAGATGGTTGGGTCACGTGTTACGTATGCCCGAACACCGATTACCACGACGTGCAATGCTAACCGGTGTTGGAGATGGTTCGAAGAAACTTAGGGGCGGCCAAATCAATACGCGGCATCAGTGCTTGAAGTCACTAACTTCTAGTCTGAGCCATGTTGGTAGATGCAGTCTACTTGGTTGGGGTCCGCGTGACTATCGTAACCAATGGTTGGAGACTCTTGGTGACATGGCTCAGAATCGATCACAATGGCGTCGGTGTATACACTCTCTGTCTTCCCTTAAACTAAGAGATTAAAATCGCTTCATATCTTTCTTTCTACGAACTAATTCTTTCTTCCTGTACTATATCCTTATTGCAATCTTTCTTGTATATATTACCACCATTGAATTAACTACTTTTATGAATCCGGTGTCCATCTTGTTGTGTTAATGAGGTATGGCAACTTGGACCGATGCATATATGTGCCTGGTTCTACGTTATAGCTGACTGACTGACTGAATGTTGGTTGCTAGAAGAGATAATATTGATACGGATAAGTCATTGATGACAGACCATAGTTTATGTTACTTAATCAAAAATCAACAAATATTTGAGGACTCGAAATTTCTGACTATTTAATAGTTTTTGCAATATATTGATTAATGATTATAGTACTCATTTAAATTATAATACGATCTAGTGAAACAATATACATTCAGTCATGCTCAAAATCGTTCGCAATAACGCGTGTATCTATTCTTTGTGTTCTCCCTAATTCTAATCCTCTGAATTCTTCTTCTCCCCTATTTTTTCTCTTTCCAAATTTATTTCATTGTATTATACTCCATAAATAACATCTTCATATCCTAATGTTTTCGACTACTGCTTATACTCTTACTACCTCTACCACTACGGGTTTCGAATCGATAACTGGGTCTCTGTGCTAATGTAGTATGGCAACTCGAACTGATGTACGTACTTACGAAGTTCTACGTTGTTACTGACTGACGGTCATGCTACTTTTATGTAAAATAAAAATATCTAGCTACTATAATCGAAAAAGATAAAGCAGGGTTGGAGAATGAGATTGAATAGCGAATAAACTATTTCATGACAACCACTACTACGTATACATATATCTACAACTGAGAGTACGAGAAACTTGTTAAAATACTTTATGGTAAGTAATCCTATCTAGTATTAAACATGTGGTACTCGATCAGTCAGTCAGTCAGCAACAACGTAGTACTTCGTACGTACGTACATCAATTCGAGTTGTCATACCACATTAGCACAGAGATGCAGTTGTCGATTCAAATTCCGTAGTGATAGAGGTAGTAAGAGTATAAGCAGCAATCGGAAACATTGGGTTTGAAGATGTGATTCAAGGAGTATAATCCAGTGAAATAAATTTGGAAAGAAAAGAAAGGGGACATGAAGAATTCAGAAGATTAGAATTTAGGAGAACAAAAAGAGTGGATGCACCTGTGCCATTGCAAACGATTTTGAGCCATGTCATTCAGGGTCTCTAACCATCGGTTGCTATCATCTCGCGGTTCTCAACCAGGTAGTCTACACCTACCAACATGACTCAGTCCACTTTTCAGTGATTTCATGGACTATGTGCCATGTTTCGGTCTGGCCTCTCCTAGCTTTCTTCCAACCTACTCCTACATCATAAAACATCGCACGTCGGAGCAGTCGGTCGTTGGGCATACGTAACATATGTCCCAGCCACCTCAACTGATAAAGCTTCACTACTTCATCAATTGATTTGCCATCCTCACCTAGTACCCGTTTCCTAACAACTGGATTACTTACTCAGTGGTCCCAGGATATACGAGCAATGCTTCGAAGACACCTATGATCGAATACTAGAAACCTACGAATAACATGTGGTACTGAATGAAGTGACGATTACTACCACTATTATTATTATTACTACTATAGAAGCATAATGACAGGAAATAGAAACTTTCTGATGTAGGTACCTTACGCGAAAGTGAATGAACTACACGAATAAACTCTGACAATGTTTCCATAGGTTGACTAATGTATGTTCCATTAAAGTTTGATATTATTTCACATTCTAATAAAATTACCAACTAATATAAGTGTAGTAACATATTTTATGCAACATATTTACAACCGAGGAACATAAATATGAATCACAGATAAATATCACTTACCGAATAAAACGTAACGAAACAAGTTCTGTCCAATTCCTTAGGTTACCTTTATCAATTTTGACAGTGTTATCCCAGTCCTAAAAAGAACAAACATAGAAATCTTCTTAATAGATAACAAACAATTAACGTGTACAATTGAGGAATAAGTTATGCTATCACAATAAAACCTGGAAGGTAACCATTTCAAATTAGAAACAGAAATCTTAGAATGTTACATTATCGAAGCTTTCAGACTAAGATGGTGAATCAGAAACATTGACCGAAATGCCAAATTCATTGCAGTTTTGCACTGAGTAACAATTTACTTGCTACCTTTCATATAAAAACAGCTCTTACGTCAACGATAGTTTGGAAAATCACGAAGATGTAAAAAACAAATAACCCTTCGAGACATTAATTTTCCTTGCTTAGTATGACGTCTTTTTATTTTTGATTATTTTCTCTTCATGCACTGGTATAAATTGATGGATGAGGTTTCCTGTTCCTATATCTGCCTACATTTATAAATCTGGTGCCTTAGGGAGTTACTAGTTTTCAAGAAGAATATGAAAATAATCACCATTAGCTACCTTTGTCTCATGATTTGAATTAAATTTTTGTGTTACTAACTTGTTTATAGAGAACAGCTGATCATCAATATTCGAAATTCTTGTTTCCACAAACATGTGTGTACAGAATTTTGTGGCTAAAGTAATGATAGACTAAATAGGCCATACATATATATGCATCATTCATAGAGCCAAAGAACTAGTCAGACTCTTTTCAGCTAGATTTACATGAGATCTGAGTTGTGTTTATTGAAACAGGGTAAAATATAGCTTAGCTTATGCTAAGTTAGATATATTTAAAATCAAACAGTAAAGCAGCGTTTGGTTATTACGTTTCTTATTAGTCAACTACCCCCTTTTTACAAACTTGTAGGATAGTGCTCTTCAAACCCTTTTGTATCCTTCGTCACCAAAGGATCTCATCAAATTCTTGAATTATTTTTCTAAACTTGCTAAATGAAGAAGTTTCATTTTGCATTGGGAACTGTAGCAAACCGAAGTGATATATAAAGCCTAAAGCTCACGGAGAAAATCTAATCTTCGTATCACAAGAGTCTTTAAATCAAAACCAATTTAGCTAATGGGATTCTAAAGAGAAGACCATTGCTGATATTAACAGTCGAAACATTATTTTATAGTTCATTATTCATAATCTAAGTAAACAATAAGCTCTTAAATCTAACCAATTTGATGTGTACGAACCACCATATCATTTAACATGGAATCAGTAACATGTAGTTTCGTTCCAAAAACGTATATGTCATAAAAACACCTTAAGAAAATACTAAACGAAGTATATTGTGGTAAGGACACAGATACCATAAGACCTGACACAATCATATATCTGTTCAAAATGCTAAACAGCACACCCACTTTTTTGAGGAATCAACATGAGGGAAAAACAAAGAAATTAAAATGACACAGTAATGCAACAACCGGATGAAAGTAACAAGATAGTAGAATATTCAGAACTCAAAACAGGATTAACTAGAAGTATAAGTAAAAGGTATTTATTTTGAACCATACTACATAGTTTTCAATCACTTATTTCAATTGGCTTGTGAAAATTACCTAAAAGACCTACGCACTCTTACAAAACTCGCATTAAGTCAAAGACTTGATGGGTGCTGTTAGGATATTAATATCCTGGAACATTTCCCTGTATATTTGTACTTCAGTAAGCATGACATGTTGAGGTAATTACTGGTTTCGCACGTGGAATACATGTCCAAACTCTAATCTATGGAAAGTAAAAAAGCGCCGACAAGATTCCGTTGCCATACTTAACTTCTTATCACATTGATCTGCAATCAGGCCGCACCAACACATATATACTAAAACACAAATGTATCATACAACAAAAATAGGACTAACCATAGGATTGTAGACACGAAATGTTTGAATCAGAAGGCTTGGATACCGACGATGAGCGTACACCGTTGTACCGGAAGATACACATAGTTCATTCTGGAACAACCAATGACATAAAAAGATACTTATGTTGGGTAATGTAGATAAAGCAATACACGATAATGATATATATATATATATATATATATATATATATATATATATATATATATATATATATATATATATATATGACTAAATAAGAGGACTGATAATATGGAACCAGCGTCCCTTTGATCCTGAAAATCTGATGTTCTGTTAATAAATTTACGCTGAAAAGGTTTCCAAACAAAGTGAAATGATAACACTGAGAAGAAATGGAAGACAGAAAGGTTGTACAATCTATAAACAAGTGAACAAGGAAATTACTTAGTAAAAAACAGTTCGATTAAGTAAACAAGACATATTCCGTTCGGTTACATCAAACGAACTATTATCACAATGCCTGTATACAATATTTCTAACTACATGATGATGCTGCTGAATGTGAGTTAACCTCCAAAGGCAACTCAACAAAAGCGATGAGTTCAGACACAGGCTTCTGGAAGTTTAGAATGAGTACTCTTCATTTCAAAAGTGTGAAACACATAGATAACTACAGACACCAATTACCAACTGATTATATGCAATGTGGGTAGTCGATGAATTGTCGTAAATTATACTTACATTATTCTCGTGCTCAAAGTCTTTTTCCGTGTGACAGATCTTTTATAGATGGTTCCAAAAAGTTATAGTAAAACTAAAGAAAAATGGTGAGATCGGGAAACCCTCTCTAGTCCTACTGCTGACTTTAAATAATGGAGATAGTTGATTTCGGGTTCTCACACTAATGTATTTTTGTAAAAAACCTTTAAAGTGTTAAACTTTTCAGGGACACTTTTTCTCAGTATACAAGCCCAAGACATACTCCCATTTAACGAATTGGAGTCCGAAATAAAGAACGATAAAGCGATGGTTGAAATCCAATGACTACAGCGATGCTTCATCATTCGTCGGAGGATGAAGATATGACTAATGTATCCATAAACTTAACAGAAACTGGCCTTCCTCATACGAATTAATCTGCCACAAGCTATTCATAATTTATGTAGTGTGAAGTTGACGGCTTGGAAGTAGCGTAGAGCAGACTTACACTTCAATACTGTTGTATAAATTGCTTCGTCTCAAAACGATGGAACAATCAGTTTGCCAATTATTTTAGCCTCCAGCCCTAGAAAGAGACGGCAGTGAGTCATCTGAATTCAGTGATGCCTCAGAATTCAGTCAGAGGTCTTAAGTGCTGTTAGAGATATGATGGCGGTTTTCACTTCCCGGCTGCGCACACCATAGAAGGGTTTTTCTAGAGGTAACTGAAAAGAAATTGGGTTAGGGTCGGTCATATTGATCTGACAGCGAGACCGCAGGGCTGCTTAAGGCGGTCTTTTGCGGCCTTTTTGTGAGTAATTCTTCTGTTAGCTCCGTACTTGTTGAGACCTTACCGCCGGAGACGGATATTCGTGGGATAAGGCAAGGTGTGCATTTTTAGGGTCGGCCTTTTTTAACGCCAACCTTCTTTTGTGGGAAGACAGCATCTCTGTTATGCTGGTTGTCTACAGTTGGCAGTATGACTTCACTCTCGGTCCTTGAGTTTGCTGCTTTTAGTCTTACCGCTCTTCAACAGACCTGTCTGGCATGGTAGAACCTCGAGGAACGACCTTCCAGCCAGTAAAGCTTGATTGTTTCATCACGATAGGCAAACCCGACCACCACGTCAAGGTAGCAGCAACTGTTAGTTTGTTTTAGACCTAGGTTAGTCAGTCAAATACAACGTAGGACCCAGTACGTGTGTAGATCGTTTTCATTGGGTGGGTTCTTAGTTGGAAGTCAAACTGCACAAATGTATAGTTGTTGCACCAGACGGGTTGACATATCGCTCCAATTGCTGTATCCAGCGTTCAAGATCGTTTCAAGATTACTAACCAATATACCCTGAATCCAATAATCAGTTTATACGACAATAGTACTTTCAAGAATCGAAAGGGCATGCACACCGTTAATCTAAAACCGGAATTTTCCAACTACAGGTGAATCCTTTTATCTACGGTCCCAGTGCTAGACGTCTTCTCGGACTTTCCCTTTAATGAAAACATCCATGCTAAGTGAATGTAGTAAAGATTCCCCTGGAAGCGACCGTAACTATGAGGCCGCATGAAGGCATTTTGAGACATGAAGTGGATGCTATTAACCCACTGTCACACTATAGCACTTAGAGGGTCAAAACATTTTCCAGATTACGTTGCCCCAAAATGCCCTGGTACGGCCCAAAGTGAGGGGAGTCCGCTCTCCTTCTCGAAACGCTCTCACATGGCCGCACGTACACAACCACTGTCACGCAAGTCCTACTCACCGCCTCCTTACGGCATTATTGTTGTTTACGGGATTGAGAGAACGGAGAGCGAATGTCTGTCGCCTTAACCGGGTCGGTAGATATGGAGGATCCAAATAAGGGAGTTGAAACACCCTGACTCAAAACCAATGGTGCGCGTGGGCTCCAGGATCCTGAAGTAACAAATGGTGTATGAACCAATTATTGGCCACAGGCCACCATAGGACTGCATCTCCTTACGTTGCTCCATTGCCTTGTAGATTAGACCTTTAAGTCGAAGGTTCCAGGCATAGCCCCCGTAAGAAAACCACCTGCTTCAGTCTGATCACCTGAGCAGTATCACAGCCCACATACAAATCAAGTGAGTTGTGTGGTGCACATGTATTCGGTGCCTATTTGTACCAATATTTGTGTTCAAATAATGAAATTTAGATTACGTTAACTACGTTAGGAGCGTACATTCGAAAATGAAGAAGTCTACATGATTCAGAACACAGTATTTTATTTGCTACGCTTACACTAGATTTTACTTAAGTATATTAGATTACTGGTCTACTTTGCAAATCTGAAACGGATTAAAAGCACGATTTAACCTTCGTCAGTCGATATCTACAGATAATTAAAGTGATAATCAAATAAATCTTACGTGAAGACAATGATTAAGGATTCAAATAATAACTTAAGTACTAGTTTTAGAATTAAACACAGTAAACTATGAAATCATCGCGAGCTTCTCGAGGTACGTTTAGTTGAAAGATGTGATCGAAAATAAATGCGTCAGATGAGAACATTTACAAAATTTGTACTATAGAACAATAACAGCGATAAGGTGAGCACCTGTGAAGTACACAAATAAGTGTACCATACAGTGTAACCGACTGCAGTATTTTGCTCACCAACAACTTGAGTTTAATATTTCAGATTTTCCTATACAATGAATGTCTGAATTAGAGTTTAACTAGGAAAATTAACTGATTAGTTGCACTTGACCCAATCGACACAAACGGTTTAAACATTTGAGTGGTGTACTTCTACTTTAGTCAGATACGTAGCCACAGTGTTTATTACTTAGTTCAGTATTACCATCTGTTAAGCATGCCTATACACTTATATTGAATTATCTCATTTGAAGGAATTAGTTCTATTCGTGCTTCGAAAGAAATATTTCTAGGACTACTAAGGATGTATTCTAGTTTCTCTGCGAATTTCGAGCAGAAAATTGACACTTTCACATACCTAAAGACTGGATTTAAAGTTGGTTTTAGTGGTTTGTGACGCCTGATATACTCAGGAACCTATTAGGAATGAATTTTTATGTATATCAACAGTGATGGAGATACACAGTGATTCACTAGCTTGGTAATGACACTACTCTAGTATTGAAGACAGTTTCCAACCTTACCTAAAGTATATAAGTAAAGTCCTGTAACCATCTAAATGACACTAAAGCATCGGAAAACATGTGTATTGCTTGTGGCACATTCACTATTCTTAGTTACTTAGAATATCATACAATTACGGTGTTCTTAGCTATGATTAGCTGACCTAGTCAGTAAGTTCAATTGCATTCTGTAAAGTATCAAGCTTTTATTCTACGTTTTCATTTATTCTGCAATTTTATAGATTCTCGTGTTGATTAGCCGGCTAGCTATTATGAAATTATAACAATTAAAAGTCGACAGATTGAAAGAAAATCTGAAATCGGTTTACTAACTTATCCTCTGTGTAATGTTACTAAGATATTTCTAACTATTTTGATACAAAAACACAACTATTGGCCTGGGATGTGTAGGGGCACTTTAAAATTGAGGGAGGGGCGAATATATAATAAGAACACCTATGACCTGATGTAAAAACAGCCTGCTACTGGAGAGTCAGTATTTCATGAGTTTTCGGTAAAGTATGGCAAAAGCCAATGGTTTGAACGTAATCGAAAGTATACTTACAACCTTGTAGTTGTTCTATAGAATACGTACAATATTCCTAAAGGTGAAAACGATGATCGTTTAGTTCCAGACTGTTGGAACACTATCTGTCTCCCGAAACAATTCAGTCATTTGCCTAGCCGAAAGTTCGTCACCATATTCATGAAGATCCTGGATTAAGTCATCACGGCCAGGAAACTTGTGAGTTTCTAAAAGTTAGGGTATATTGTGGGTTCGTGATTTGTTAGATGGATCTGCTGTCATAGATCAGGGGGGAAAGGACCAACGTTAGTGAGGCAAAATCCAGTTGTAATGGCTCTCGTTAAGACTTCAGGACAGTTTTCGACGAAAGGAGACAAAAGTAGAGCAATTAACCAAGTTTAAGACACTTCCGTTGAAGAACATATGGAACTCAAAACAACTGTCTGCAAGCCAACATTAAAGTCAGAATCTTCAATACGAACGTCAAGACAGTCCTACTGTATGGAACTGAGACTTGGAGAACTACTACGAACATCATTAAAAAAGTACAAGCATTTATAAACAGTTGTCTGCGAAAAATACTCAGTGTTCGTTGGCCGGATACTAATAGCAACAACCTACTGTGGGAGACAACAAAACAGCTTCCAGCTGGAGAGGAAATTAGGAAAAGACGTTAGAATTCGATAGGACCTACACTGAGAAAATCATCAAACTACATCATGAGACAAGCGCAAAATTGGAATCCTGAAGGGAAACATAAAAGAAGATCAAAGAACACACTTAATCGAGAATCGGAAGAAGTTGTCAAAGGGATGAATAGCAACTGGAAACAAATGGGAAGGATTGCCCAGGACAGAGTTGGATGGAGGATGATGGTGGGTGGCCCATGCTGCTTCACGAGGGGTAACAGGCGTAAGTAAGCATGCTACTTTTTGACATAAATATTTGATTATAATAACTCCGTCAAACCTCTGAGTGACCAAGTTCACTGATATACCAAAAACCACCGATTCTGGGACTAGAAAGCACAATTTTTTCAGCTTTCTTAGATCGCTCATCAACTTTCAATTTTTATATTACTGGACAAAATACGTATTTATTAATAATGATGACTGAAAGAAATCACCATAAACACGATTTCATAGAAGTTGGTAGACTGCGTGTTTGTAAGACATAAGGAACGTGATCTACAATACCGGGAGATTCTTCTAAAGCACATAAATCGAATGCAAATTACAGAAAAACTGCAAGCTCATATTCTTTTATCGTTTTCAATTTGAGTAGCCAGGATTCTACAGTCTTGTGTTTGATGCGATCCAAAGGATCGCGGTAAATATCAGTAATTAATCACCGAGATAAGAACTATGATAGAATTAATAAGTTCAACTAATGTAAACAGATCACTAATGTTCAAACTTTAGACAATTTTTCATATACTCCTGAAGTCTTGTTTGCACTTATAACCCTGATACTTTAGTATTGTTGACATTTTCTAGGTTCTTGCGAGGTTCCATTACTCAAAGAGGTAAAGTATATTTTTGGGTCAGTAGGAAAATTCAGTTTAGCTTGCTAGAACAGTATGTCAATTAATAATATCCAAAGTCTCAGGAAATCAAACGAAGCATATATTACATTTTGCTGAACTTTCAATGAGGGGTCCCGGTAATGGAAAATTAAATGGTTACATAGTCAATCTAAGCATTTCAAATGAACTTCAGGTTTAGGTCAGCTTAGTCCTCGGAATGGGTATTCCTCGAATTATGTATAATGACCCGAAAAGTCTAAACTACAATTATTGCACAAAAATACATCTTTATTCGTCCACTTACCACATGCTTGAAACAGCTCATTTTATGCATCAATCCGTCTCGGATATCAAGTAGTAGTGCTTCTGAGACATACTAAAATACTTTTTATAAGAACATACTGAAATTAACATATCCATGAACATCTAGTGTGATCAGTGCAGGTATCTTGGTGCTTTGAGATAAAAACCCGTTATTGTGAATCAATATGTTATGTTCTTGGAAAGAACAACCAATGAAACCATTCCCTACGTCAGGATTAGTAAAAATGAGTCAGCAACGAACCCGTAAATGTAAGTAGACTGCTCTGTGTGTTTTCCGGCTGAATTATAAATGCGTCTAGATCTTTTATTTTTTTTGCAAATGGTTTAAGGCGATCTGCAACACACTCGTGAGGTTCGTCTAATTACAATCAGGTTTGATTTAATATGTAATTACCAGTCTTTATAAATTCTGAAACAAACTCAGAAGGCGTCAGACACCAAAGGAATATATACAGACAACAGAGAATAACCAAATATATTACAATCCTCCATCTATTATTAAAAAATCCTCACAAGCAACAAAGTGGGTATTACTTGTACAACAAAATAATTGTAGTTTTCATTCCTATCACAGAGAAAAGAGTGAAGTATGTCTATATGAGTGCCAAAGTGTGACACTATCAGATGGCTGGTATTGCCTTAGGAGGAAGATACTCCTATGAGATCCAAATGTGTAAAGACCACCCACTGGGTTGAAAACGCGTTAGGTATTTGTAGTGTATAACTTCGAATCCGTCACGACCTTATCCAATAACCAATGCCTTTAGGTCGAGGTTCAAATGGTTGTGGACGGAATAGAAGCTTTCGCTTAAAGGGCTTCCGAGTCTAGTAGCACTGGATCGCCAATACCTCCAGGCAGGAACGTTGTTATATCAACGATAACAGAGGAAAAAAAGAAATTAGCAAATCATCGTAAGATATTATCCTTAGTCCTTAAGAATAGGTCAAGTTTTCTCTTAAAGGACTCCTGGGAAATCTATGTCACGAGCTCATGTAAACAGATTCATTTCTTGATGTTTCAGTAAAACTCCAGATCTAGACACTCAACTGCATTATTTTCAGTTAGTTTAGAAGCCATTTTTGGATTTGCATATATTGTAACGTGTATGTCATTCTAATGAGGTAGGGTTTCTCAGACCTTTGTCTACTCTACACTTATCTACTGTTACGAGGTACTTCTGAAGCTCAAATGGTACAAATGGTTCAAATGGTTGTGGATGGAATAGAAGAAGCTTTAGCTTAACGGGCTTTCGTGTCTAGTAGCAGGGGATCACCAAATCCTCCAGGCAGGAACCTAGGTATGCTAACAACAAAAGAGGAAAAGAAATCGGTAAATCATAGTGTGATGCTGTCCTTGGTCCTTAAGAATAGGTCGAGTTGCCTCTTGAAGGACTCCTGAGAAGTCGCTTGGACTAGCTCGGCTGGTAGCGAATTCCAGATTTTGACAACTCTTAAGGAGTAGAAGTTGTGTCTACATTCCGTCTTGCTATGTTGTGTTTCCAGTTTCTGGGTGTTACCCCTTAGGTTATTATTCGAACTAAGCTTAAGTAGGTGTTTAAGAGGATGTCCAGAAGTGTTAAGAATACTATAAGCCATTAATAAATCACCTCTAAGACGCCTATACTCTAATGGGTAAAGGTCTAGTGAATGGAGGTTTAGATTTGAGTCCTCGAACTGATTTCGTGGCTCGCCGTTGGATACGCTTCAAAGTGACCTTGTCCTTTTGGAGTGAGGGGGGGAGTACTATGTTTCCCTACTATAAATGGGGACGGATGAAACTATTGAAGATTGTATGGAAAGTTCGTCCGTCAAACTGTCCAAAAATGCGCTTCAACGTTACCAGTGCAAGGTTTGCTCGGAAGGCACTTTTGTCACAGTTAGCGTAAGACTTCAAATCATGAGGCATCAGGACTCCTAAATCTTTTTCGACTTGGGATACTACTAGAGAGGAGTTTCCTAAGTTGTAACTGTAGTTTGCGACATGTCGCAGATGGACTACTTTACACTTTGAAGTGTTAAAGGTAAGTCCATTATCGTCTGCCCAACTTTGAAGTCGAGTCAGACCCTCCTGAGGTGCCTGTATATCGTCTTGGTTGCGTATCTCTCTCCAAAGTTTCACGTCGTCGGCAAAAAATAATAAGTCTGACGTTACCTGTTGAGGAAGATCATTTATGTAGATCAAGAAGAGAAGAGGCCCTAGTACTGAGCCCTGGGGGACCCCACTAGGACATTCCATAGCCTGAGATAAAGTGAAATTAACCCTAACCTTAAAGTGTCGATTTTTTAGGTATGAAGTAAGCCAATCGATTAGAGGTGATTTGATACCTAGTCGTTTGAGCTTGTTGATAAGACACAAGTGGTTAACCTTATCAAAAGCTTTTGAGAAATCAAGGTAAATGACGTCAACCTTTCCGTTGCAATCGAGGATGCTTGTCCATTTGTCCACCGCAGTCAGCAGGTTGGTTATACAAGAGTAACCCTTCCTGAAACCATGCTTTTGAGGTGAGAAGAAATTTAAGGACAGTAGATAGTCGTTTAAACCGTCACATATCAGGGGATCCATGAGTTTTGAAGGTAATGACAGATGAGCCACCGGCCGATAACTTGAAGGTTCATTGCGTCGACCTCCTTTGAAAATTGGTGTGATGTGAGCCAACTTCCAATTTTCCGGTAATTTGCCTCGGCTTAGCGAGTGCGAAAACATCACGCTAAGCGGCGTTGCCAGGATTGAGGTTGCCTCCCTCAGTATGGCAGGATGAACCATATCCGGGCCAGGAGAAGTGTCTAGTTTTAAGTGCAGCAATTTCCGGGATACTAAGTCAGCGCTTAGGTTCACTTCGGAAAGTCCTGTGGAATTGCAGATGAAACTGTCGTCATCTTTACTGTGTGTTACGGGGCGTGATGAAAATGCTCTCTTACGGCTGTGTGCTATGCATTGTTGCGATAAATCTTGGAGACATCATCGCCCATCTGAATTCCTCAACTTCTAGACACATTAAATTTGACTACCAGTTATTGGCGCTTGAGTGTGGACATTTTCGACTGAAAGCCGGTCATTAGGTTGTAGATAGTGTAGTTTTGAAGGTTTCCAATCCTTACTCATCTTACTTACATTCATTCAGACATGTATCTTTGAAGGTTCCAGCGAGCTTCTTGTTAGGCTGCTCTCGAGGTAGAAGAGTCTCCTCACTAATATTTTGGGATGGTGTATTAAGGAACATGTTTACAAGTAAGCGATCAGACATTAGGTGCAATTGTAGTGATATTACTTGGAATGTATTTTCCTTTCGTGTATTGTCACCTATGGGTGGATGATATATTCTTCCAACCAAGCTCCTGGTGGCATGCGCGTTGAGGAAAGATTGAAAAAACACTAACGGTCCGGTTAGTTTTGCTTTTGGCAGCACTGAGTCTTCAAAGTAGGCGTAATGGATTTTGCTGCTCCAACTCTCTCCATATGTTTTCTGTCACATCTGAATGTCACCCATCATACATCTAATTCATTACTTGTGACATCATAAGAGAGAAAGGTTTTATTTTGTCCGAGCTGGAAAAGTATTTCTTGTCTTTTAAATCTTGTCAAATTGCAGCGGAGCACTTAGCTGTTTTTTATCTCAAGCAGTGCTCCTCTTTGGCTGCCGCTGTTTGTTAGTTCATGGAAAGGGTGTGAAACTTTCTGGTAAGGGATTTCCGGTGTGGTTACTTTAGTTGACCAGTCATCGCTTGTGGCGCACTGGCATATTTTGTTGATTGTGGTCCTCTGACCTTAAAGCATATATATTTGTCTTACCATTCAAGGTTAACACTGAATACATCGGACGCGACAGTAAAAGTCACTACTTAATTTGCAGTAGACCCGACAGACTTCTGCCAGATCCTCTCAAATTCTGATGTTTAAAGCCATCAGATAGGTGAAGTTAATCGTTGTGTGGCATGAAGGGCAGAGAAATCGGAATGGACGATAGTCACCACCAATGTTACACATCATGTATGTAGGCTTTGTTGGGGTTACTAAAAGTTAGCATAGTAACCCCAAGAATCTTCATGCTAGTCGCTTCTTCGGGACTCGCTGATTGTTTTATGGAGCTACACTTTCAGTATAGCTTTAATTGTGTATAACTAATACTGAGATACTGTTTTATCACTGATCTGTTCATAACATCATGAAAGCTTGTTATTGCACATCTACTGAGTGCAGCACCACTACTTTAGTTGCGATGTAGCCTCTATACTAGGATTAGAGTTTTGTTTGGATAGCGCTTACGTCAAATAGGTTGCAGTATCTGTCCTACTGTGGTGAACATGAACACATGTAGGGAAATTCGAACACAAAATCACAGAACATCCTAGTAAAGTGTGAAGACCATACAGTAAATATCTAATTCGCAAAATGCCAATCAATTGCCTCAAACGTGACCGTTTCTTTTTAAAAATATCAGTCAATCGTTTTAGACTTTACTGTTCCTGCTTTTCCATACCAATTGCTTTCTGTTCCCATTCTTTCCTCCTCGATCTTCTTGACCTTCTGCTACCAAGCATTATATTCCTGTTTGGCGTGATATACTACTTATGCCGATATAAGTAGAACACATCACACTATTATTGCTAACTGGAATATATGCTACTTTCCGGTAAACTACCCTCTGATACTTAGGCACCAAACAAAACTAAGTAATTTAGCCACTTATCTTCGTCCGTAGTTTTTCACGCAATGAAGATAATGTTGCTGATATGATCTTTTCTAACAGTCACCCACTTTCACTTCCCCTTAATAATTATCGACATATGTGCAGCAAACAGTGATTTCGCGGGTGAAGTTTTTGCAACCGCACTGCTGTTCGTTTCGGCTACGACTTTTGTGGTCAATTTTTGACTGTTCCCGCACTGATGTGAGTGGATACCATTGTTTCCATTGTACATTTTATTTGCTGTTGTATTGGATATGTCTCCGTAGCTATGTGTCTCTCCTTATTTTTACCTGAAGTAGACAGGTAAGTCAACGGGTCCATCAGTACCGCGCAAATATAATCGGTCATAAAAGACGTCAACTACTGACCTAGTGAGTTGTCAAGTGAAACTCACGATCCCCTACTTACTACCAGCGGTCTAGCATCATGGAGCTTGTAATTCATCAGCTGGTTAGGACAACATAAAATTTGATTCGCTTTTTGTCTATTTTTTTTCGTTTTACTACATTCTGGTTCACTTGACGGACTTATCATTAATTTAGATACACTACCCGTTGCCTTATCAATGACTGTTATATTCCTTCATTTTTATACCTACTTTCGTGAAAAATTGTCCTTCATAATATTCTTCTAGTCTATCATACTTAGCTTAAAAACCAAAAATCTATATTATAGTCATCCAAAGCATTGACTTAACCACAGTCCGTGATTTGCGACCCTCTAATAAGATTGTAAAATGGTACTTAGAAAACAGTGTTCCCCAACATGACGTAAAAATTGAGCATTAGGTAGGATGTAACATTTTATTTAAAAACAAACCTAAGAGGCCTTAACATTACGAAAGTAGTGAGGAAATAGTTACTGGCCAGCAAGCATTTGTGATGAGGGTGATGACTTGAACCCACCCACGTTTGTGGGCCGGAACATTTTGTTTGTTTCAGGCCCTCTACGATTAAGAACGTGACAATCAATTAATGATAGCGAGGTCATTTCACTACACTTGCTACTCAGACTGATGTTCCAAATTTAAACTCCCTTCACTATTC